AAATTACAAAAATATCACCAAAATTAGAGAATTGAAGATATGATCATGAAATGAACAAATCTGAGAGAGGTCTACCCAAGGTACATATTCACCAAGTATCAAAGCATTCAGGCTTGTAGTTTTCAAGAAGTCGAAAAAGTAAAACATTGACACGGATGACGACGCCGGAAAATCACTCATATGATAAGCTCCGCTCGACAAAGTCGACAGCGGAGCTAAAAAATAGGCCAATGGCCTGTTGCTCAACGGCTATTGTACAAAAGATTAGTGCTGTATATGCCACAACTTTTCGTTTAAATTTGTACTTTTAAATGAAATATCGCCAAACAACCACACAAAGTTGTCAATGGAATAATAAACACATGTATGCCTAACACCAAAGCATTGGAAATAGTGGTTAGTTGAAATTCCATTTTTAACCAAAAATTACAAAAATATTTGCCAAAATACACACCAAGTATCAAAGCATTCAAGCTACCGGTTTTGAAGAAGAAGTCGAAAATAGAACTATACGTCTTGAAATCGACCAATTTCGGACCATCACCCTCAAAATAATTGATGAAATAGTTTCGGGACTCATCGACAGTAGAAAGGTAGAAACGTAAGGCGAAAATAATAAAAAAACATACAGCCTATCGGCTGAGATAGCTCCGCTGTTAGCAATGCACATTTCAATTAAAGAACTGAAGACATCATTAGAAAATGAACAATATGTATAGTATCAAAGCAATCGGACTTACAGTTTTTAACAAGAAGTCGAAAATATCACTTTCTACCAAAAATGACCAAAATATTCACTAAAATTAGAGAATTGAAGATATCATCACGAAATGAACAAATCTAAGAAAGGTCTACATGTAGTATCTATATAGTAATATCAAAGCAATTGAACTTTTGGTTTTTAACAAGTCGAAAATATCACTTTTTACCAAAAATTACAAAAATATTCACCAAAATTAGAGAATTGAAGATACCATCACAAAATGAACAAATCTGAGAGAGGTCCACATGTAGTACCAATATATGTAATATCAAAGCAATCAGACTATTGGTTTTTTACAAGAAGTCGAAAATATCACTTTTTACCAAAAATGACAAAAATATTCACCAAAATTATAGAATCGAAGATACCATCACGAAATGAATAAATCTGAGAAAGGTCT